CCTTCTCCCCCTTCTCTTCCCTCCCCTCCCACCTCCCTTGCAGACGGACCCTTTCCTAGGAATGATGATGGGCCTTGGAGGAGGCATGGACTTTGACTCCAAGAAGGCCTACAGGTGAGGCCTGGGCCTGGAGGGAGGAGCCTGGAAGGGACAGGGCTGAAGTGGGAGGAGGGCACAGAGGCACAATGACGAGAAGAGCTAGCAGGGGCCTCAGACAAGCCTGGAAGCTCTGATTCTCCTGCCTGCACCACAGGGATGTGGCCTGGCTGGGTGACTGTGACCAGGGCTGCTTGGCCCTTGCCAACCTCCTTGGATGGAAGGTGAGGAGCTGGACGACCCCGGCCCACCTTAAGCCCAGTCCCTGGACCCTGCCCATGCCCCACAGGCCCTCTGACCCCATGATGCATGGTGACCTCTGATTTCTGTGAACTTTGCCCCTGCAGAAGGAGCTAGAGGACCTTGTCCGGAAGGAGCATGCCAGCATCGATGCCCAGTCAGGGTCGGGAGCCCCCAATCCCACCACTTCAGCTTCCCCCAGGAAGTCCCCACCACCTGCCAAGGAGGAGGCCAGGAGCAGAGATGGGGAGAAACCCCAGTGAGGGCTGCATCTCCCAGGCAGGATGCCCAGCTCCCTCTGGGACAGTAAAGCCCCAACCAGCTCTGGCCCCCTCTATCCTGCAGCTCTTGTCTGAGGAGCTCAGAACATCCCCCTAATCTCTTAACCACTCCCCCCACCCATCGCCAGCAAATCTCTAACATCTCCCAGGGCCGAGGCTTGAGCAGCCCTATGTCTAACAGCCCCGGATCTCTAACCACCCACCACCAGGATTAAGGAGCACTTTCCCCTAATCTCTAACTGCTCCCAGGGGCCAGGGGTGCCCCCAAACTTCTAACTGTCCCAGGACAGGGTCTGAGGGTCCCCACTCTCTACTGCTCCCAGGCGCCTGTGGCCAAGTAGACCAAATCTAATCTAGCCCAGATGGAGGGGTGGGCCCTCCAAATATAACTCACACCCAGTGTCAGGGAGTGGTCTGAGCCTGAAGGACTCCCAAGTCTCTGCCTCCAACTCCCAAAGAGGGTTCTGGGCCCCCTTCACTTGGGACCCACTTCCCAAGTGGAGATGGGCAGAAGACATTGCTTATTGGAGACAAATTAAAAACAAAACAAAAACAACTGACAAGCAGCTGTCTGGTCTTGCTGTTTCTTTTTGTGGGTACCCAGGGAAGCAGCTATGGGGAGGGGGCTAGACTGGGCCACTAAGGAAACCAGAACATCTCCAGGCTCTTATGAAAAACAGAGTGAGGGGTGCTGAGAGGAGACTCCAGGGGGTGGGTGGGACCTCATATCTCTTATCTTGGACCCTGCCAGGGTCCCTTCCACCAAAGCCTGGTCACTTAAGGCCTGAGTCCCCGGAAAGAGAAAGGAAGGTTGATTTCAGACACCTCCAGCCCCGCCTCTTCCCCCAACACCCCCCACCCCCACCCCTGTGTGCTCAGCTTCCTCTCTGCGAGGAACATTTTCACTTCCTGCTACACCGGGCCTCCCCTCGGAGAACAGGTAGGGGCCCCCAGGGACCGAGCATCTGGCATCTTCACCCTCCACTGCCTCCCCTTGGTATCTGGTAGCTGCCCAGCACCACCGATGGCCTCCTCCCCCTCCCACAGAACCCAGGCCGGCACCTGCCTCCTCTCCCTACCCCTTCCTTCCTGCTCTCCCCTGGGTGGGGCACCTGCCCCTGCCTCGCTCCTAATTAACACCCTGGGCTTCTGGCCAATGGGCTGATTTATTTGTTTAGCTGCTTATTATCCATATTTTACACCCACCCCAAACAAGAATGGAAGGCCCTGGGAGCAGGGGCCTGTCCTCATCACCCTCTCCCCAGGGCACTGGCACCTAAGGGTGGGCCTGTATCCGATAAATATCAGATGGATGGATGGATGGATCCTCCGTTCTCAGGCCCAGGTTTCCCACCCCTAGTACTACTGCAGGGAAAATATTCAAAAGTGCCCACTCTGAGTGGTAACCCATAGCAGGCCTCTGTACCTGGCTAAGAGTTGGGGGAAAATATTCAAGAACCCCTCCATGGTCTGGGAAGGGAGGGAGAGGGGTGTTGTGCTACATTTGGCAGATTTATGGAGTACATACTGTGGGCCAAGAACTTTTCCAGGCACTAGGTTTTGGTGAGGGTTGTTACTCAGCTGGTCCACATTCGTATGGCTACACTGGTTGTTAAAATCTTGAAATATTCCCGACCACTTGGTAAATAGCTGTTGTTTTGAGTCCCCCCGCCACCCCGCAAGACACACTGGCCTCTCTCCTGTGATCCCCAGATCTCCCCACCATTCAGTGACTAAAGAATTAATCCCTGACACAGCAAGGGGTTTCCAGGGTCCATGCTGACTGGTCAAGGTCTCTGCCATATTGTGAGTATTTGAATATTACCTCTTGGCTGGAGCAGAAGTGAGTCTTATCTTCCTCCCTGCCAGAGGCCAGACCATGGCTCACTGGCTTCCTGCATCCTGAGGATGGCCGAGCTAGAGGACAAGGCCTCTGCAGCCCCCACCGAGGGGGAGAGGTGAGGGATGCTGGGGCTGAGATCTCCATCTCCTGCCCAGAAACCCCTTCCATCCAATGCCTACCCCCATCTCCCACGGACTCTGAACCCAATCTCTGACCTTTCATCCGTGGGCTTCCCATTCCTGCACCTGTGACCCCACCTCAGTGTTCAACTGCTCACCTCTGACCCCTACCTTCCTGGGCCCTGCACATCTCAGGCTGGTCCCATCACAGGAGAATGGAGCAAGTGAGACCCCCCTAGGGGTCCTCAGCACCCTAGAGCCACTTCTTCGCCTGCAGAG